AACATCATGGCACAGAGACCAAAGAGGTCAATTTCAGGTACAGTAAAATTGTTTTACTAAGCACTGTATATTATGTGAAAAGTGAAATTGCTACATGTACATCAGGCCCATAGAAAACAATTTGAGGACGGGGCTCATAGAAATTTTACCCAAAAATCATGGGGCGTTATTATTAAAATTTCTAATCTAGTTAATTTGATTAATCTAGTTAATCATGCGGGTTTACAGTTATTGATTTTTTGTTTGGTTTGTTTTTTTTTTCTTGTGTTTATTTATGTTTAAATATTTAGAATCTACATGTATATTTCATTTTTGTATGTGAAGTGTGTGTGTGGTGGGGGGGGGGGGGTCATGAACCAGTAAAGAACACAAACTCTTAAAATTTATTTGAAAATAACTTGAAAAAATATTAACATATTCTTATCAGGGAACAATTATAATTATTATTATTTTGATAAATTGGCCGTTAAACTCGCCTTATAAACAAGATAAAACAATGATTTACATGTAGCATGTTGCTAGCATGGAATTTAATTCTAAATGATGTGTAAAATGGAACCCAAGGTACACTGTGTGAGAATGTTCTTAGTGATTATCACGACATATATGTACTTGTATGTATAATGAACCGTGATGTGAAACTGCTATAAATGAAAATTTAGCATATGAGGTGTACAATATGTCTCATTTATTTCATAGAAAAGGTAATATCAGTATTTACATGTTTGCCTTTCAAACATTTAAACAACGACTTAGCAATAGCAATTATAAATTGATTTCACGCATGAATAATGTTAACAAATGCATTTGAAAGGCTTTTGTTTTAGATGCTCTCATTAATTTCACTCCATCCGATACATCGAAAATAAATTCAACACATTCTCTTCTCCTTTTTTTCGCGATAAAAGTTAAGAAAAATAAATGAAAAATAGCCCGCTGTTTCAAATAAAACTTTGAATTTCTCGGGATCGACATTCCGAGTGCGGACAGAAATGAGAAATGAACATGATGATGATTAGTCTGATCAGACCAGTAGAACAGGGTCCAGGGACCTACAGTAATAGTGATTTTAGTCATATGAAGGGTGTCTGGTATAAGTTTTAACAAAAAATGACGTTAGACCTGCATACAGTATACGTGTACAAAGTCCTGGCACTGGCTGCATACATGCCTAGCGATTGTATGGTTCCGTGCTTGAGAGGTACCATGCATGTAGTTTGTAGCTTTAGCCACCAAAGTGTTTCCTCTACATGCAGCATTGAGATATACGGAGTTAAAAAAAGTTTTCGTTTAACCCGAATTTTCTCCGTTTGTACATATTATCTAAGAATTGAGCTTTCATATTAGGCTCATATCAATATTGAAGTGAACTTATGATGGGTGCCTTTACTGCAAAGGTAATAATAACCACACTAAAATATCTGAGTCATTACAACTACTCATTGTTTCCAAAACACTTACTGTACATGCAGGGCTAGAAAAAATTTTTTTCACTGGTCACGGGGCTATCACCTTAAATTTTTACTGGTCAATTCAGTACTTTCACTGTTCCACTGGGCCAGTAGATTTTAAGATGACTGGCCCAAATGCATAATTATAATAGTAATATTTTGTTTATATTATGATACTTAAAAGTACAACATAAAAAAACAAGAAAAACAACAGAACTTATACACACAACCCTGACAAGTAAACTATCCCCACTATGAATGCATTTTGTTACATTTAAAAAACCCACACATCCAATGAACACATGTCCTCTGCAATGTACTGGCCCAGATGAAAAGTAATTCACTGGCCCGGGTCGCCCCAGACCAGCAGGACATCAATTATTTTGAGCCCTTAGATGTACCATGCTTGCAATGTCTAGGAAAAGAGGCTGGTCGGTTGATACATGCACATGAACAATGAATGTCCCATTATTTTGTTTATTTTGTGAATACACCAGGATGATATATAATTCTGAGATATTAGATTATGGTATCGATGTAATAAGAACATTTATCTTTTAGCATTCCCTCCTTTAGTCTACAATTAATTTTTTAGCTCACCTGTCAGTGAGATGATCGAAAGCTCAAATGAGCTTTCTGATCACATTTTATCTGACATCCGTCTGTCTGTCTGTCTGTCAAGCTGTCTGTAAACTTTCACATTGTCGACTTCTCAAGAACAACTGGGCAAGTTTGGATCAAACTTGCCAGAAAGCAGTGTGGGTTAAGGGGGCTTAAATTTGTTCAAATGAAGGGCAACATCCTCTATCAAGGGGGGATAAATAAGAATAAGTAAAAATTTGTTGTCATCTTTCAAAATTCCCCTTCTCAAGAACCATTGGGCCAGAAAAGTTAAAACTTATGTGAAACCTTCATTACATAGTGTAGATTCAATTCTTTTTTTCAAATCATGACACCAAGTGTTAGGGTGGGGTACATCAAAATGGGGGATTAAAGTTTTACATATTAAGAATATATAGGAAAAAATATTCAAGAACAACTAAGCCCTGTTAAGTCATATTGATATTGTACTTCATTTTAAATAATCATAACACGTACTGTATACTCAGATACCAATGACATTTGTTTCTGCATGCTCTAATTAAGTAAAATATCCCTCTGTTCCAATTTTCACAGTTTTTTTTTTTTTTAAATTCCCAACATTGATTTTGATTTTCATCAACAACAATAGCCTAAGATTCAAATGGAAAATAGTTTGAAGTATGAAGCATTGCTTACTTTTTCAGAAAGATTATTATGTCTAATCATGATAAGAAGAAAATTTGATATGGTGAATAGAAAGATCAATATTATCTCAGCATGCTCAGCATAAAATTAAAAATATGAAGCATATATGAAAATAATATTTACTGTCATACCTATTTAATTCATATTAGAAAACTAATGAAGCGTTGCTTTTCAAATCAGAATATCGACACAGTTTTCTGTGCTTGTAAAATAAAAATGCTTCCATCTACAAGAGTTAACATTCCATCTACAGGAGTTATCTTTCTTCAAAAATATTTTTAAGAGAAAAAAAAATTAATAAATTGATCATGTTGATTGTAAAAATTCTGCATCTAAAATACCTGTAACAGTTAAGAGAATTACATGTTAAGAGATTGAAATATCTCAAATTTAACAGTTTAAAGGAGCTGAGTATAAATATTGTAAGTAAACTATTGTAAGTAATTAATAATTAAAACATATTGACAATAAAAAATAGAAATTAATATTTGTAACAAAATTCAGATTTGATTGAATTTACTACACAATGGTCCTCATCAGTAATCTCTGGTAGGGCAATTCATTGGATTGCTTGGAATAATTTCCTTCGAAAGTTGTCTTTCTTATCAGAAGGACATTTACACCTTAAGTCATATGTAGTCTCTAAATGTCCATGAAATGAACCTGAAGATCCCATTTGGATTTTTTTATGTAACTTAAGAAGGATCTAAGAAAATTGTTAAGTCTAGAATATAGTGTAAATATCAAATCTAAGGAGAAGCCTTTCAGTTCTACTAACTTGAGGTATTTATCCTTCAAAACAGGATCACAAAACTGCCCAGAGTGTCACATGCTGGAACAACATGATTGATTTTAATTGATTGACTTTTTAGTGCTTATAGAAGGATTAAAACAAGTATATTTAATTTGTTCTTGGATTCATAATTAATAAACTTTATAATTTTATTAAACTGAAATAAACCTTGAATCAAAGAACTTCAGTTTTGTTCTTAAAATACAATCGGGGAAACATGTTCTGCTACAGAATGTTTATGGGTAGGGGACCTGCCGACCTGGAGTAGTGATATACACTAAGTATATTAATTCAAATTGCAGTACGAAACGTTTTCAATTTTATTCATTTTCTGTTTTTATGTTCATTTTATTTATGAATTTAGTATAAGATTAAATGAATAAAAGGAATAAAGCCTTAGATTTTGTATTTCCAAGTATTTCCCAGTTTAGTGAAAATTTGTAGTATTTACCAGGATGGGAAATACTGTATTTACCACCAGTAATTCCCACCACTTGTATTTCCCGTCCAACCCTGATAATAATTTCCCTAATATCTTTGAATATAAATGGACCATTTCTAAGTTTTCTATTTTTGTACAAAGCTGTACTATATATTTTTGCAAGAGTTTTACAGTGAGGTAGGGTAAATGATGAAATTACTGAAATAAGTTAACATTTATTGTGAAATATAAAGATACATGTAGTCTCGATTACTTTTACTGCCACATGTGCCATGAACCTTTTCTTCTTTATACTTAAGATTTTCAAAAAGAATAAATCAATATAAGGTTTGAAGGGTCTGAAACTAAGGTACATCAGACCAATCCAGTCTAGTGGTTGAGTGGTCCATTCATATAAAATGTACGTGAACTAGACCATTTGGACATGCATGCTGTTAAATAAATAATAAACTCCCATTGCAGTCTTTCAACATGTTCAAATAAATAGTCATAACTTTTCAAGAAAGTTTCTTATTTCTTTAACGCCATCACTGTGTGAAGAAAAAAAAATCCCCACATGACACATTCCCTACTTTTCGCCACTGCTGTAATTGAGAAGTTGAAACTACTGTTCACTATCAACATGGTAAAAATATAGTATAATAGTTTTTAAATTAATTTTTAATACATGTATTTACAATAATTATAATGCTGTAATGTCCTGATGAACCCAACTCAATTGGCTTAAAAGGACCTATCCAAAAGTCTGTCAAAAATATTGACACATGCAAAAGACAATATCCTTATAACATATGGTTTCAAAAGTTCTCATTAAAATTCTTGATGAAGTAATTTTGCATGTTTGGTCAGGGCTAGTGAATTTTTGGCCAGGACTAGTAATAATTATAGGAATGAGCCCGATTGAAAGTCACTCATTTCCATCATATTTATATATATATGCTGTAATATACAGGTGTACTGCTGTTCGAATATTTCCAGATAAAAGATATGCATTTTAGAAGACTAAAGCAAATATAATTTCTTACAGCTAAAATTCCAACTTTGGCTGCAGTATATTATCCAGAAGAAGATGCTACTGGTGTTATTCCTACAAACAGAATACTTGACATCTCCTCCTGTGAGGTGAATGCCAAAGTCACCATTCGCTGGAGTAAAGACACGCTTCTACCTGCTCGTATCATTGCATTGTCAGGTAAATACATATGTATTTTATAGAGGTGTTTAACAATATATGACACACAGGCAGAAAGAAAAATGAAAACAAAAGCTACATATTATTTTAATCAACAGGTATTCAAAATTATTATTTAAAGTCAGAAGTATCCAATATTCTTCATTCCAGTTTCTATGGCAATGATTTCCTAAAATGTTATACTTACAGTGTTTTCCTTACTATTGTCCTTAATAACTTGAAAGACTCATGTTCAGAAATTTTTGACCACTGTTTTGTACGTTTTCACTGGATACTTGACAGATTTCTTGTTTTAAATCTAGCCTTTTAGACCCCGCAAAGTGTATATACATATATTAATTTTGTTATTTAAAGATGCATTTAAATAAAGGTTTTTTTTTTTTTTTTGGGGGGGGGGGTGGCAGGATTTAACTGTTTTTCAACTTAACATTATATTTTGTTCAAACTTTTTAATTATCCTTAACGAATGAAAACTAGGCAGCGCTTTCTGGTTAGGACATTTTTCTCCATCATCCCTGTACAATTTTTATCGTGCTTATAATAAAAGTTTACAAATTCAAATATTTGTTGCTAGTTGTACTCCATTTTTGAGAACAGCCGGAATTATGACATCACTGATTACATCATCCGTGACTTCCTGGTATTATAACTTTCCCGATATTTTACATTATCATAATTTTAGATTAACATGATTAATATGATTGTCTATGGTGTTTTGGTATTTTTGGTATCATGCTTGATATTCAGATTATGTCCATTTATATGTGTGACATGTGTGATATATATCATGTATATTATGAAACACCCTGTATTACTCCTTCTAAGATGGTTTAAAAATGGTACATGTATTGCTAAACGTTGGTTAATTTGTATTCCAAGTAGTAGACTAGTAGTTATTAGTCCCCTACCGGTGAAACCGGAGGGGACTATAGGTTTCCTCGGAGTCTGTCCGTCCGTCTGTCTGTCTGTCTGTCAGTCTGTCCTACTTGGTTTTCCGCATTTTTTTCCTAAACGCTTGCAGATATTGAGCTAATTTTTGGTATGTGTGTGTATCTTGATGAGTTACAGATCAAGTTTGCATTTCGTTCCGCTTTATTGATTTTTGACGGAATTACGGCCTTTTCAATTTTTACGGGTCTTCTGCAATTTTCTTCTAAACGCTTGTAGATATTGAGCTGATTTTTGGTATTTGGCTTTACCTTGATAAGTTATAGATCAAGTTTGCATTTCGTCTCACTTCATTAATCTTTAACGGAATTATGGCATTTTCAATTCTTAATGGGAACGGAACCAGATTACACTTGCCGGTAGGAGACTAGTATTGCTAATGCAATACTCTCAGAATGATTGTTCACATAGCAAAACATGGACTTTAGCATTGTACACATATGGGGAAGAGGGGTAGCATTGCTTGGGCTCATTGCTTACAGTACCTCTAGTTAATTTTTGATCATGTATTAAAAATGAATACCGGTAACTTATCAACTTGAAATTTCATTTCATTTTGAATTATTTTTTTTTTCTTCCAATATTAAAAAAATGTGCAAAAATAAGCCTTTTTGATCACGTAGATGTCTGCTTATTGTTATTTCTCTGTATTTCCTTTTTAGCTCACCTTTTACCTCAGCTCTTCTGATTAAAATTTGTCAGTTGTCATCATTGCCATAAACTTTCCAAATTTTCACTTTCATCTAATGACTCCAAATCAAAATCGTAAAACTAAAAACCAGATGCTGAGGCATCAGTCATTCTGGTGTGGTGTAAAAAATGACGCATTAGACCAGAGGCACTGCTCATCGGTCAGGTCCGATGTCTTTCACATAGACTGTACTTTCAGTGTAAACAGTAATATATGAAACATTTTATTCAGAAAAAAACATTAAATACAGAAATAATTTGAAGTCTGATGCAAGTTCATACAAAATAATATCTGATAAGTTATGTCAGAGAAAAGATAAAACATAAGTCACGTTAAATTATACTATTTCCAAATATTAAATGGTGTGGTTTGTGATAAAATTGTAAGAATATGTTAATAGGTAGAGTATTTATAATTACAAATGTTTTTGTTCCACTGCATTGCACCACAACAGATTATTTTGGTAGCCATTTTTAGCTCAACTGAGCTAAAAGCCCAATGGAGCTTTTCTGATCACTTTTTGGCATCAGTCTGTGTTCATCTGTAAAGTTTTCACATTTTTGACTTCTTCTCCAGAACCACTGGTCCAATGTCAACCAAACTTGCCACAAAGATGGGCTAGAAAAATTGCATTGCCCGATGCCCTTTGATAACCAATATTGTTTGGTGGACAAGTTATTTGATAAGTGGTACCTGCCCACTGACAAGAGCTTTTCCAGTTAACAAAAAATCATAAACGCAAATGTTACTTATTTTACCACTGTTAAAATATAATGAACTATAATGATGAACTAATGAATTATATCTATCTTCAATGCAGCTGACAATATTGAATACTCAGTTGGAACTCCTCTAGAATTAACACATTCATGTGTTGTTAAAAGAGCTAGGTTCACTTTATGCATAAAATGGCCCTGTTCTTATATCAATTACTTGATTATCACTTTCTGCCCCATGTCATATATCAAAATAAAGTAGAGACTTAGCACTCTCATCTCCTATAACAAGATTTCTTTTGGAGAATTCGGGTATTGGAAAACAGGCTTTGTGAAAATGCAATGTTCTTGAATTTTGCAGAAAACAGGCATATTTGACTACATTCAGCAAATAATTAAAATATGAGCACAGTCCTCGATCCAAAAATTAAAACATGTTTTATGATCTTAAGAAACAGACCTTTCATTATGTAATTGCATATTTTGGATCAGAGGTTGTGTTCTATATGAAATATTGAAAAAATACTCCAACTTTTGGCCATTTTTAAAGGAATTTACAGGATATGGTAAAAATGACGCATTTTATGACGTCATAATGCATTGACTAGAAAGAAAATTACGTCATGTTCAATAGATAAACGGTCACCAAGGGTCCAAGTAATAAATTCTGCATTTTCAACCAAAACTGAGCAGTTTCGATTTTTCAGAAATTCTCAGGGCCAAAAAAGGCCCTAAATGGCTCTTGCTCTTTGCACAAGACTAAATATGGCAGGTATCAATATCATGTCTAAAAATTTGAAGAGGATTTATGACCTTTTTTAAATTCAACCGTGAATACACACAATACAAACACTTGCTTTAATTATTAATTGGAGGTGTTGACTGGCAGTCATGACACACAGTCATGAAGTCGATCCTTTGATCAACAATCAGGATTTTTTTAAATAATAAAATAATATACATGTGCATATTTTTTTTCATTTAAATAATACAGAAAAATATACACATTAACATGTATTTAAAATTTTAACTTTGATAATCAATACTTACTGCAAACACTTAGAAGCCTCCCTAGAATTAGAAATTTCCCCCTAAATTTCTGGGAGAGTTAAGTGATTTGGGATCTAGGTGGGTCCTAGATGCTACTGATAATGCTTTAATGTTGTGTTATTTAAGAAAAAGGTGGGACAAGAACTACTGGGATAAAAATGTTTTGAATCTATAGGGAAAATGCATTATTTCTTTTGCCTCATCTAGTAGGCAAACAAAGTACAAGATTGTAATAAGGAAGGGTATGTTTATTTATAAGATTTTTGAAATTGTTTGGCAACATAGCTTCATCTTTAAATCAATTTTCTTTTATACTTCTATGGATTCTTACAGTGTAGTATCATACTCAGGTGACCGTTAAGGCCTTTTGGTCTCTTATTGAAATTGTGTTTCAGACTTCACAAATATTTTCAAATACATGTAGAGCACAGGTTACAAATATGTGTAACATGTAGATAACTAGTCCATTAATTTCAGATTCCAGACAGAAGCTTGAGGAGGCCATTGACAATTTTGAGCAGGACATGGATGAAAATGATTTAGATACATGCACAGCCTTAAAACAGGACAAAAAGGTGAGTAAATTCATTATGTCTGAGTTTACTGGAAAAGAAATGGTGCATTTTTAGCTCTACTGGTCAGA